CTTACACAGCCAGGATGTGTGTTTGGGGTCATTGTCCTGTTGAAAATTAAATGATGGTCCAACTAAACGCAAACCGGATGGAATAGCATGCCGCTGCAAGATGCTGTGGTGGCAATGCTGGTTCACTGTGCCTTCAATTTTGAATAAATTCCCAACAGTGTCACCAGCAAAGCACCCACACACCTTCACACCTCCTCCTCCATGCTTCATGCTTGGAACCAGGCACGTAGAGTCCAACCGTTCACCTTTGATGCGTCGCACGAAGACACGATGCTTGTATTTAAAGATCTCAAATTTGGACTTATCAGACCAATTCCACATGTCCATTGCTATTTTAACATGAAGGCCTGATTCACACATTCTTCTCTTAACAGTTGTTCTAGAGATGTGTCTGCTGGTAAAACTTTGTGTGGCATTGACCTGGTCTCTAATCTGAGCTGCTGTTAACCTGCGATTTCTGAGGCTGGTGACTCAGATGAAGTCATCCTCCGCAGCAGAGGTGACCCTCAGTCTTCCCTTCCTGGGGCGGTCCTCATGTGAGCCAGTTTCTTGGTAGCGCTTGATGGTTTTTGCGACTGCACTTGGGGACACTTTCAAGGTTTTGCCTATTTTTCGGACTGACTGACCTTTATTTCTTAAAGTAATGATAGCCACTCATTTTTCTATACTTGGCTGCTTTTTTCTTCTCATAATACTCATTCTAACAATCTATTCAATAGGACTAACAGCTGTGTATCCATCTGAATTTTGCACAACACAACTGATGGTCCCAACCACATTTATAAGGCAGGAAATACAGGGGACACCTGTGAAGTGAAAACCATTTCAGGTGACTACCTCTTGAAGCTCATCAAGAGAATGCCAAAAGTGTGCGAAGCAGTAATCAAAGCAAAAGGTGGCTACTTTGAACAACCTTCAATATAAAACATATTTTCAGTTGTTTCACACTTTGTTGTTAAGTATATAATTCCACATATTAATTCATAGTTATGATGCTTTCACAGTGAATCTACAATTTTCATTGGCATGAAAATAAAGAAAACTCTTTGAATGTGTCCAAACATTTAGTCTGTACTGTATATATATATGTAAGAGTCATGGGTACTTGTTGATAGCTTAAAAATTATTTCAAAGAGCATTAAAGGAGCATTAACTTAGAATTACTCATTCCTGTATAACCCTGAGGGGATGTGTTGGACTGTGAGGAACTAACCTCATCCTTCTGCTGTTCTTTCCCTCCAGATTGGACCTGTGTTCGTTAGTCGGCTTTGACCTTCCCTCAACCACTCCTGAGACCTTCTCCTCTCCAAGGAGAGACCTGGGCTTCTGGTGCCCTCTGCAGCTGAAGACCAAGCCAGGCCATGGCTCCTCTTTTCTCGGTGCCCAGGACTGCGCCCCCCCTTGCTCCAACATGTACTTCAAACCCCACGATGTCGACTTCGCCAAAAGCTTCATCGGCGTGTGCTCCATCATCTGCCTCGGCGCCACTCTCTTCACTTTCCTCACGTTCCTCATCGACGTCAAACGTTTTCGATACCCGGAGCGCCCTATAATCTTCTACGCCGTCTGCTACAGCTTCGTCTCGCTCATATATTTCATCGGCTTCCTGCTCGGAAACGGCGCCGCCTGCACCAAAGCGAGCCACCCAGCCGGCGTGGATACCGTGGTGATGGGCTCGCACAGTAAAGGCTGCACTCTGTTGTTTATGCTCCTTTATTTCTTCACTATGGCGGGTATGGTCTGGTGGGTCATACTCACCATCACCTGGTTCCTTGCAGCTGGACCCAAATGGAGCTGTGAAGCTATAGAAAAGAAAGCGGTACGGTTCAAATAGTGTCACTTCAAAACCACAGAATTTGATTTTGTTTTATCACGGTTTTTGTGTAAAAGATATGAAAAGGGAATTCAAATAATATCTTTATTGATTTAGCAAAAAGAAAATTAACTGTAAGCCATGCATTTAAAACAGCAAATATGTGGAAAGAAGTAGCCTTCCTCAGATTAAAAGCAAGACTAAACATTTGCTGGAAAGCTAGCAGTGGATACATGGGGGAGGCTGTATCATGATGTGGGAGGGCTTCATTTCATTAGAGATGCAGAGGTTTTGTTGAGTATGGAGTGAATTTTGTTCAATTATTGTTTCAAGCAAAGTCTATCTATCTATCTATCTCTCTCTCTCTCTTCACTGGGGCTGGGCTTTCCTTAAAATGAGTGAAGACACATTTCCTTTGGTCGGCTGAACGTTAGCAACAGCATTTTTATTGGTCAGGAATGAGCGTTTGTTTTGGGCTTGAAGTGAAGAGAATGTGATCTGTGAAACGAATATGAAAAGACAAAAAATAGACTGAAAACAGCTTTGAAAAAAAAATATGATAAGAAGAATTTTGAAAAAATTAACTGTGAAAAATAATACAAAATCAATACATTTGAAAAAAATATAAAAGTAACACCCAAATATTTTTTTAAAGAAGTTTTTAAAAGGATTAAAAAAACAAACATAAAAACTTTTTTTCCCACACTTTCATTAAAAAAAAAACATTTTTAAATCTCATTTGTTTGCGACAATAATGGATCAAATTTCACTCTGCAGATGAGTAGAGTGGACCAAGGTTTCAATCACTGGCCTTATGAAGCTGGCCTATAGCTATGATCACAGCATTGACTTTAGACGTGGGGCAAGAAAGTATTTTTCAAAAATAATTCACCAAGAAAAAAAAAAGTTTGTTTGAAAGAAAAATATACTTAAAAAAAGTTTGTTCAGACTTTTAATGCTGTGCAAATCTGTCAAGATCACATATTTTATTCTCTTGAGATTTGTCCTGTATTCATGAAAGATGCTGTAAATCTGTAAAGCATGTTATTTTTCAAAATCAATCACACATGGAAATGTAAGACGTTTTAGATATTTCCAGTTCCCACGCTGACTCAGTGCGACAGCTGGGAATAGGTTGTTCAGCCACTGTGCAGAGCTGTTAGTCATGGTTGCACATTTCCATTATCTGAGGTTACCACCCCCCACACACACACACATAAACACACACCATAGCAGAGCTGTAAGTTTTAAGCCGGAAAAAAAAAACTTTGGAAAAAAAAGATCTGCAGGTTAAAAAAAAAGGAAATTGAACTGAAAAGTTTCTCTTTTTTTTTTGTTTTTTTTTTTTTGGTACAAACTTTCATTTTTTAGGTTTAATTTATTTTTTTTTTAGGTTTCCAGCCCCAATTTAGCTCCATACTTTCATGTATAAAAGATGCATTCCAACTATAAAAAATTCAAGCTCTTAATATAATAACACTGATTTATCGAGGTGAGTCAGAACCTGCCCCAATAAAACACATTGAAGTTTATGGTCAGAGGACAACGTGGGAAAGTTCAGAGGCAAGAAGTTTGTGTATTTGTATTTATTTGTTGTTCTTTACGCTCTGTGTTTAGGTGTGGTTCCACACGGCCGCCTGGGGACTCCCCGGGGCTTTGACCGTCATGCTGCTGGCGCTGAACAAGGTCGAAGGCGACAACATCAGCGGGGTTTGCTTCGTGGGGCTCTACGACCTGGACGCACTGCGGTACTTCGTCTTGGCTCCGCTCTGCGTGGGCGTCATAGTGGGCCTCTTCCTCATCCTGGCGGGCATCGTCTCCCTCAACCACGTCAGACAGGTGATCCAGCACGACGAGCGCAACCAAGAGAAGCTCAAGAAGTTCATGATCCGGATCGGCGTGTTCAGCTGCCTCTACCTGGTTCCGCTGGTCACCCTGCTGGCGTGCTACACCTACGAGCAGAGTCACCGCAGCTCCTGGGAGAACACCTGGATCAACGACAGGTGTCAGGACTACAGCATCCCCTGCTCCCATAAGGTATCTGCTTGAACAAACTCTTTAGTCTTTTATCTGCTTAGTTAAAAAATAATTTCAGCTGATAACAGAACTGCACAGCCCCCCACCCTCACCCCAGCTCTGAATTGTGAAAATGAACATATTCCAGAGTTAATGGCATTTTAAGTTTAAAATTAGGTTTGTTAATTTACACAAATTGTCTGAATCCCGAGGATCTTGTTAGCATTCATGTCCGTCTGTTTCAGCCTACAGAGCACCACCGCCCTGACCTCTCTTTGTTTCTGGTCAAATACTTGATGACGCTGGTGGTTGGGATATCCGCTGTATTCTGGGTCAGCAGCAAAAAGACCTGTTCAGAGTGGGCCTACTTCTTCAAAAGAACCCGGAAAACAGAGTAAGGCTTCATCTCTGGCAGATGCAGTAACAGGGGCAGCATCTCCTGCTCTTTTGTCTCCTAAGCGTTATGATCTGTGATCCATAGCCCGATCAGCGAGAGCCGCCGGGTACTTCAGGAGTCCTGCGAGTTCTTCCTTAAACACAACAGCCGAGTCCAGCACAACAAGAAGCACTACAAGCACGCCTCCCACAAGCTCAAAGTCATCTCCAAATCCATGGGCACCAGTACCGCCGTCTCCCCAGCCAATCAAAGCTCCTCCTTTAGCAACCAGGAGGCACACATGAGGAGCTCGGTGTCCGATACTTCCGTCAGAGAGCAGCTGGATCGAGGCGCTTCCAGCCGAAGCTCCAGGAGGGCGGAGAGGGAACGAGAGGGGGGAGAGAGGCGCAGCAGAGGTGGCAGCTCCAGTAAGATCAGCAGCCGCTCGGAGAGCATGAACAGAGTTATGGACGGCAGGTAGGAAGGTTTCTCTTATGTTTTTATATACAGTTTATAAAAATTACTGTGATTTTAACAATTTAAAGATACACCATGCATTGTAAAGCCTTATAAATTTAGCTAAATGTGATTATTTCATGAAATGTTGCCCTGGGCTCTTAAGGAGTCTTCATTTTTACAAAATTTTGGTTTTCTTCCAAGCTGGAAGGAAGACACTTGCTTTCAATGCAAGCAGCCATGTTGGTTTCCCCTATTTCAAGGCGTCGCCCTGGAGCCACCGTAGTTTTCCAAGACAGGAAGGGGCTGCTGCTCAGAGAGCAGAATTCATAAGGATTACTAGACGGGAGCAAATCAGAAAGGCAGTGAGAGCGCAGACCTCCGCCAAGCAACTGACTTAAACCTATAGCTAAAAGTCGCACATGATCTGGATAAATGAACGAATCGTACCTAAGCATGAGGTGCACCTCTGGTAGCAATTGCCTTAAATTCCTTTGATAAGTTCCTAAATGACGCCAAGCTTGTGGCTGCAGCCTCTGGTGTTTGTTCTGCACTCGGCTTCTTCATTCACTCTGCTTTCTTGTTTGATCAGCAAATTGAAACTTCGAACGAGGCATGGCTCACCTTCCCTGTGTTTTTGTCTTCAGTATAATACTTCTGGACTTTTTTAGTCTGATTCTCAAGCTATCAATAGCCACTGCTGCCACCCTCTGGTTTGTGGGGGAACTGGTTACGTTAAATGTTAACGAATCTTTAAAAAAATTCCTGCATTTGGATTATGATGTGGATTATCACCAGAATTTCATGGATTGTTTCTTGGATTGAGGCAGCTTTGTTAAAAAAAGAAAAAAAGAAAATTAAACCTGTTCAAAACTTTTCAAGTTATCCTGTAAAGAGACTAGGGGTGGAACGGTTCACAAAATCCACGGTTCGGTTCGATTCACGGTTTCTGGTCACGGTTTTCGGTTCGGTTCGATACATGTTGATTGTTACACCGAAATCCCATAAAAATTTATGGAATGAAAAAATCCCCCAAAAAATAATGGATTGTAATTATTTTAAATGATCCGCGGAAACCCTGGATCATTTCTGTATGTTTTGCTGCTTTGAATTTAATCATCTCGCGCATGCGCTCTACCGTCTCCAAGGAACGGAGGGAGCCACAGTGGAGGCTGTAGGCTTTGCTTTGAGCAGCCGGGCTGAAGCGCAGCGAGGGTTGCTGATGGAGTATGAGGGATTTCGGGGTTAGCATGACATGTTGGTCATGTTGCTGTTAGCGTAAACAAAACGTGTTGCACAATGCTTGCACACTGTTGCACTTTTATCCACAACTTTCTTCCCGCCGCCATCGTAGGTCACTCTAAATGCAAAGCGCTCCCATACAGCAGACCTATAAAGTGCTGCTGGCGCGTCTTCCAACTCCTGTTCTTTCCCACTCGCCATTCCGACACAATTCTCCACAACAACTGATTTTTTCTGCTACACCCGGCTAAGCTACTTCGCTTCTTCTTCTTGTTTACTACTGGTGGTTGGCTTTGGTTGCAGTACCGCCACCTTCTGCTCTGGAGTGTAATCGCTTCGCCTATGAGAAAAAGGAGCAGCGCATGAACCGAACCGAGACAGTCGAACCGAACGGTTCTGACGGTTTTCATAAATCGTCCCATCCCTAAAAGAGACACATACAAATAAAACTCGACTAAAAACATAACCTACTAGGTGGAGGTGAAAAAAATCATTTGTGCCAAGTCATATGAAGGGATAACTTTTAAATGTTAAAAACGGTTGGTTTTGCACTGACATAAGCCCATTAAGTGCTCATCCTGCCTTCTGGTGTTCAAGTGCAGAATCTCAGATTTTTTCATAGCTTCATGTTAGAGCCCAGAAATAAACAAAGCAGTTAATCTTCTCCTTAGAGTTGATCTACTTTCTTTTGTCAAGTAAATTTTTATCATTTCATCCATATGTAACTCAACCAGCTGCAGAAATTCTGATCAATTTATTAAACTTCTTTATTAGCAGTTCAGTCTCCATGGTAATGCCTCCACTTCCTTTAATATATTGGGTTTGAACACTGCATGGTGTTTTCTGACCCTCAGAAGGGCAGGACGTCAGAGGCGCTGGTTACTACTCTTGTTGCGACTTTATTCTCGTAATTTTACGAATTTATTCTCAGAATTTTTATGACTTTATTCTCGTAATTTTTCGACTTTATTCTCGTAATTTTACAACTTTATTCTCCTAATTTTTACGACTTTATTTTCCTAATTTTTACGACTTTATTCTCGTAATTTTACTACTTTATTCTCAAAATTGTACGACTTTATTCTCGTAATTTTATGACTATTCTTGCTGCGACTTTATTCTGGTATTTTTGTAATGTTACTACTATTTTCCTAATTTTACGACTTTATTCTCGTGATTTTATGACTACTCTCGTTGTGACTTTATTCTCGTAATTTGATGCCTGTAATTTGGTAACTGTACGACCTTATTCTCATAATGTTACAACTTTATTCTCGAAATAGAAGAAAAAAAAAATCTCTAGCTTGGCCCTAATACTCTGTCGCAAGTCTGAGCTTGCTCCTTATGAATATTTGCTCCTTGTCCAAAGCTCCCTGTAAGGTATTTCCTTGCTGCGTTTTTATTCCAGTATAACCACAACCAATGAAATTCATTTTTTTTCCTATACATGTTGATTTGGCTATTTCTGATTCTCCTGCTCTGTTACATCTCTGCAGACCCAGAACAGACTGTCTAAATTGTAATTAGGATGTTTCTAGATTTGTGTGAAAATCAAAAGCCACACAAGGAATCCTCCTTCTATCTGCCTAATTAATCAGGAGCTGATTAAGGAATAGATTCACCTGTTTATGTAACAGTTTTCATTATAAATGTACATTTAAATTATTCCTTTTCTAATTGAAATGTTAGCATTGAAGTGCCGTGTCTCTGCAGGTTAAAATCACAGTTACTTTGAAAACAGTCTTTAAATATAAAAATATATATAATATAAAATATAACAGTCTCTTTTTATTTTTTATTACTTGATTGTTACCATAGTTTATATTAAAGCGCTGTCTTTCTGTTTGTAGAATGACTCCATGGAGCGAGCTGTCAGACACTAGACAAGCTACGAGTGGACAGCAACAGCAGCAGCGTCCAGGTGTAAACCCATCACACAGCAGCAGCAGCATCCTGGACCCCGCACTCCAGACAGCAGACACGGTGCTCGAGGAGAGCAAGGACCCAAAGGAAATGTAAAAATCCCAAATGATCCTGTCCAGGCTAATATCCAGAAACAGTTGACGATGTGTCAAACACCTCTGTAGGCAGTGAAAGTCCTAAAAACCCATCAGGTGTTTCATATATGGGTTGTTTGCCCAGAATCTGTAGGATTTAGACTGCAGCTGCTGAAGTTTCCTGCCGTTTTGTGTGTTTGGGTTTTCCAGCTTTACTGATGGGTTAGTCTGAATGTTAAAGAACCCACCATGCTACTACCAATGGTCAATTAAGAATACTACTTCCATTATGAGTACCTTTTTAGAGTTTTTTGTGAAGTGGTATTTAAATCCTTCAAAATAAATTGCAGCATGTGTTTATATTTGTATTTTTTTCTACTGTATATTTTTCTACTGGTCAACACACTGGATTTTATAAAGCGTTTTTATGACGTCACCAAACATTCAACCCAAAAGGCGCCGTTGTGTCTTTAGAAGTCTTATCACTGCTGTTTAGATATAAGGTTTGATGCGAGACCAAGGTATGCACCACTCTTTAAAGATGTTGTTAAACTTGAAATACTTAAAACATGTAAAGTCATTTTGAGAAGGCTCTAGTTTTTTATTGTCTTCTCTGAACTTTTCGTCATGTTTTTATTTTCACTCTATTTTTAAAGACATATTGAAAGAACTTGGTTAAATTACTGTTGTGTAACAACTCAAACCTAATCAAGCAGGTATTTTGCACTTAAAGCACAAACCACTAAATACTGAGTGATAGAAAAATACCAGCAATGTTTCATGGACACAAGTGTGTGCAGGCCTGGCCAAACGTTTGACGCCCTGAGCAATGTTTTATCTAGGAGTGCACTTCCTGCATTTATTACAGACTTTGGGAGCCTTTCAGAGGATAAAAGAAGTTTGATGTTTCGTTCACAAACAATTTAGTAAAAAAAAGCTTTTATTTGTTAACTTAAGAACAAACTAAGCAGAAGAAATGATCTTGAACCTATGAAGGTTTTCTATAGTCTGTATACTACTGATACATTTTAAACATGTCCTGTGTAAATAAGCATTCCCAGTGTCTGCTTGTATCTTAGTGTTCATGTTTAGGTGACACATGAATTATCTCAACTTGTTTTTGCACATGAAAATGCTTAGATGCTGCATCTGTCTTTGAATTTTTGTTGTTTTATTCTTGGGGTTAAAAGAAATTTCAAGAATCACAACTTAAAAGGGAAACTGTGTCATTAAGTGTTTTATTTTATATTTTTGTCACTGGATAATATGTGTGGATTATAATGTGCCTTCTGTAGTCTCAGATTCTCTATTTTGTTTTCCACAGTCAGTTTTTGTATCTTTCTCTTTGTAGTTTTTTATTGTGATAATTTTTATGAAGTTTTTAATAAAAAAGTACATTTTTCTCCCATCACGAGTCAAAGTCCATGTATTTTACTGATTTTCAAACTAAATTCCAACTTTTAAAACATAACACAGAACACTTCCTTAGTCTGTTCAAACAAGTAAAGAAGTAAGGCACAGTAAATAATATATAAGGGGTGTCCTCCTAAACTCACAAACTAAACAAGGAACCTTAAAGCAAAAGTTAAGCTAAGAGGACTGCTTTAGAGAGGTAGGATTGTTCAAAAGGAACCTTATTAGGTTTGTGCTTCCAAAAATGAATTCAACCTGGAGAGAGTCACACAGAGAGAAGCTTTAATTAGAGAAGTTTTATTGATATAAATGAAATAAGTTCTTTGGCGCTTGGACCCCGGCAGGAAATGGATGCTGTGAATCAACATTCACTTAGATGAGTAACTTAGGAAAAGGTTTAGAGTTGTTATCCCCTCTGGGGCCCGGACACTGGTGATGGAATAAGCCTGAGGGTGAATGGGACTGATAATAGTCTGCGGCCCAATCCCAAACCGGCTAAGCACCCTCTTTTTGCGCGTTCCCGGAGAGGGTCAGCCACATTAAGTGCCATCCCAAGCCCCCTTGTGGGTAGGGCGAGTGGACTGTTCTGCCCCTAAAGCGAGTCTGCATCAGTTGCAGGCTCGCTGAAATTTGGAAGCAGGTTATAACAGTAGCTTGATGGTGGAGGAAATGTGTGGATTTAAAGTCATACGGAAACGGCCGTTCCAACCGTCACATTTCTGAATTCTCCCGAGTGGTGCACGACTTTACACGAGTGAATAAAGTGAATGTTATTGGTCGTTTATCAAGAGAGTGGGGTTGTTGTGGTAGGTTTGGAAGCAAGTTTGATTGTAGCCGGTTTCTTTGAAGCATCTTGCTAACCAGTTAGCAACTTAGTGCTAGCAGGTTCCCAATGGGAAATTCCATTGGGACCAAGTAGCACTAAATTGGTGACTTAGAAACGACACTGTCAAGGAACGCTATGGACAGAGGAAACATGCAAGAGGAGGAGAGTTTAGTGTCGGAGGTCGTGGATGAGTCTCCTCCATCATCCATTTTTTATTTAGAGGAGGAAAGCGGGGACGAAGATGTTGTGGAAGAGGACGCCAGGGCGGCAGAAGCTTGGTTTGGTGTAAAAGGCTTACAGCCGTACATGTTTGAGCCCTTGCCTCAAAACGCTGCCAGTTCTGTTAGCTCTACGCCTGCTGAAGACACAGACGTCCATCCCCATGAACACTGGGACAAAACCCAATGGGAAAGGAAATTATTCTTATTTCAGCCGTTGCGTATATTAACTGCGACACATGAATCAAGATGCTATGACTGCAAAAAATTGATGACAGATGACCGTTGATATATGATTGGCGGAATTTAGGTGTTCAGGCTGACGTATAACTAACTGACCTGCATAGGATAACGAGAAAAAACCCCCCCACAGATTTTAAGACAGGATTTTTTTTTTAAGTAGAAATTTTCTATATTTTGGTACAATATTGTCTGATAAAGAGTACATTTATATACATGTTTAAGCCAGAATGATTTGACATTTAAATATGATTTCCCCATTACTTTAAATGTGAGTTCCACCAGTTTGCCACCAGTCTGACAAAAAAAACCCACAAGTTAGGTATAAGAAGAAAAAAAAAACAATTCCAAAATGAAAGGTCCCCTTTCAAATAGTTTTATTTGACCATATACAGTGGTATTAAGACAGGGGCAAATGTTGTATTTTAGGTCATCCTGCACCTCACACTGGAAAAACAATCTAGAAATAGTGTATTTACCCTTATTTTGAGTAGATAAATGAGATGATTGGCCAATGGAATGAGTATTTTTACTCTTAAAATAAGATACTTAAATAAAATGCACTTGAAATAAGACAATGCAATTGCGTTTTCTTATTTTAAATGTAAATTTGTTTTGTTCCTTTGGCAAAAATTGTCTTTTATATCCTCAATTCAAGAACAAATGCACTTATTTTAAGAAAAAAATACTCATCTATATTTAGTTTTTTTTTCCAGTGCAGAGCTACAGCAAAGCACATGGGGCGTCACTGTGGTGACTTAGTGACGACTGCTTTATTTTCCCCTTCCTACACACACACACACACACACACACACACAGCTTTAATCAAGGCTCCTTCCACAGCTGCAAGATTTGACTTCATTGCGAATGAGACATGATAGTTAAGTGTTAGTGGTTAGGGAGCGGTTTGGGATTCGGCCTGGGAGGAGACGGGGCGGAGGTGGGGTGAAAGTTTGGTGGTGTGAGGGAGGGAGACCAGGCCAGGAGTTACATGAAGGGGATCTTGAAAGCTGATTGCCTTTGGATGAGCTGCTGTCTTTATGTTGATTGGCTGAAGCTTGAGCAAGGGACATCCAAGGGATCCAGGTGAAGCTGGTAAGAGTCAGATTTAATTTTTGCTTAAGCTTCATTAAAGAGGAACAGAAAGAAAGCATAAAAAATTCCATCGCCCTATTTGCTGAAAGCCTTTGCCGACAATGGCCTTGTTAGATAGGACAGGTGGATAAAGACAATCTTACGTTTGTTGGAAAACTGACATCATCCCCTTGATGGAACACAATGGTGGTAGCATCATGCTATGGGTATTAACAACAGTATAGCCGCTTAGCGCTCACAGCTGCAGTAATGGTTATGAAACAGTTTTTTTATGATTGATCTAGAGTATACGGTCACCTTAAACACAAACAAAGCAGCACTGTGTTGCTTTGGAATAAAGCATATTCATACTGTATTACAGAACGTCCTAGTCAAAGTCCAAACCAATATCTGATAAAGAGTATGTGGAAAGACTTGAACATGGCTGTTGTATCAAAGTCAGACTCCAGAGTTTTAAACTTTTATCTGTTAAAATAAAATAAAAACAGAGCATTGAAACCCATGCACCTTTTTTTCTTTTTATCATAACAGTTTTTTTTAACAGTGCAGTCCTATTAGATCTCCACAGAGTGGACACACTGTGCCCCTTCAGATCCAACTGAGATGTTTTCTTTAGCTCCTTCTGCACGCTGACTGGCTCCTTCCCTGTTGGCCTGCCCTCCTCCTCCTCCTCCTCCGGCCTCCTAGAGTCGGACTGTCGCCTCTCATCTCTCCCTCACACAGCTCACACTTACCCGCCTGTCACCCCTGGAAGGATGTCTCCTCTGGTGAGCCGCCTGCTCCTTCTCTTCTGCCTGGCCTTACCTCTTTATGGAGGGGAAAAGATAAGAAATAAGGGATTAAGAAAGGAACCTGACCCTGACAAGGTAAGGCTGTAAAAATCAGCTTAAAAAACAAATGTGGAAAGTAGACTTGCTTGATTAGCTCATTAAAATATAATTATTTCACTCAGTGGCTTTCATGTTAGCGCGAGCAGTATTATTGATTCCCCTCATGTATATTTCATAGATTATTTTTGCATATTTATAAGTTTTACTCCAGTCTGTTATTGTTCTGTTTAATAGGGTTTAGGATTTGTTTTTAGAAACTAAAGTTGATTACAACTAATGGTAGAATTGATTATTCTGCAACTACTTTTTGGAAAATGAGACCCTCTTCAGGATGATTTGGCTCCATCTGCAGATCATTGCTCTTTGTATGTAAGGTCAGCTGGTTCCCCATTATTCTCTGTTTGGCAGGACTCCAACAGGCAGAGTGGGCTCTTAAAAAAAGAAAAACAGGAAGTAAGGGTCTGGCTCATGCTGTCTGGCTTTGTTATTCCTGCTCCTATTTTCCCTGTTAAAAATAACTTTTTAAGGGTGTGAGCAATTTTTCTATCTCATGGCTAACAGACCTTCAGTTCAATGTTTTTTATGATCATCCACCTCAATCTGCACCCTGTCTGCGTGTAGATACACATACCTGCTGCTTCCATCTAGTCTGTGGTTAGATTTACAGAAATTAGACATTTGTGCCTTATATCTGGGAATATATAACATATTTATTTAAACTAGGGTTCCCAGAATCAGTGGCCCCTCTCCTTGCTTCCTGCAATGAGAACATTACATGTTAACCTGTTACTGTTATTTACTTTGTAAATTATTGATAAAGAAACTGGTAGAGGTTACTAAGTAAAACTAATGCATGGTTTAGTATATATATTTTAAAGGGTAGATTTTAATCAATAATTTCTAAAGGAGTGGTTCCAGAAAGTTGTTAATGGAGGAGGGCCACTTTGAAATTATTACGGTAAATGGCGCCCAAAAACATCAAAAGCAACATCAGAATTAATGGAGTTTTATTCAAGTATGTTGCAGCAAAGAAACACAAAATAAAAGCTCAATTTTGAGACAAAATGTCTTAATTCTCTGATAATGTATTTTCTTAAAGGTTTTATAGCTTACGCTACTGGCTAACGTTGTTACCCAAAATTAGGGTAACGTTTTTTTTTTGTTGTTTTTTTTTAAGTAAGGAAGGAAGGAAGGAAGGAAGGAAGGAAGGAAGGAAGGAAGGAAGGAAGGAAGGAAGGAAGGAAGGATAGATAGCTAGCAAGCAAGTTTGGTGATGTTGCCAAAAGCTGAATACAAACTTAAATTTAGACACTTTTTTGATGCATTAACTTATAATTCATACATATAAAATATAATCCATCCTAATCAAACACATCTGCTCTACTGTTATTTGTTGAGTTGGAAACGATAAATAGCTAAACCACGTTTTTAAGCTTTTTAAACTCTGATCATAATGTTTTCATTGAATTTTTATCAATATTAAATATATAGTGCAATAAAAACATATTTTGTGACTGTCTGTATCTAGTGCACAGGAAATGATGCAGACAAACCCAACTGCACTAGACACTCCTCCGATGAGCGAAGATCTCCTTTTCTGAACAGCATGGTAATCTTTAAATCCAACTTTACACCTGAGACCTTTTGAAATCTCTGAACTGAGCTTTATATTCAGCCTCTGCTTGTTCCTAAAAGGGATTTTTGTGTTTGCTTTGGTGTGGGATAATGCATGAGATGCTGCCAGTTCCTCTGCAGAATAGCACTGATGCAAGT